ATGAGTACTTAGATACTCTATATAGATAACTAGGTAAATCATATTCTAGTAATAAGATATAATATAAAAATCCTTTAGATTGTTGTACATAATCAATAAAAGTAGAGCATATAGCATAATTGTCAAAAAAAAAATATATATCCTTCAACTAATTTGACCAATACTAAACCCTTTAACCAACTGGTCAAATCAGTCAAACTGGTCTGGTCAAGCTTGACCATTGACCGGTCCATACTAATACTGATTATTATATAATATATAGTATATAAATCTATATTAATTTTAGAATCTAGTAATTAGATTTTGATGATTTTAGGCTTGTTAGAATCAGCTTTTTGAGAGAATCATTTTGGTAGTTAAATCATCCAAATTGGTTTAGTAAATTAAAAGTTATTTAATATCACAGATGATTGTGAAATCCAGATCATCATGAAATTTCAATTTTTAAACTTTTTTGGAGTATATTTTTTTAGACTTTTTTTGAATTTGAACTAGTATTTAAGGTTAGAGTTTATAATAAAAGAGTATAAGTAGATTTTGTTAAAGTTATAAGGGCTTATATTTTTAAATTAAGGTCCTAGATTTCACAATAATCTAATTTCACCATAATTTGCAACATTTAATATTCAATTTATATATAAATTTATAATATAATTTTGGCCAAAATTTGATAATTATGGTTAGAATTACATCTGACACTTAGCTAACCTACTCATCTATCAAAAATTAGCTAATTTCTATCAGCTCTCTAATAAAGAAATTATGAAAACAATCAGAAAAAAAATAAATAAAACAGAAGAAAAAAAAAATACAAATTTCAAAAAAGAAAAACATAAAAAATCTAAAACTTTATTATAACCTGTATGTGGCTGATAAAAATTATATAACAATATTTGTATATCTTTTCTATTGTTTTAATATTAAATTTACTTTCTGACCTTTCTATTAACTCTAAATAGCTTTGTTGTTTGTTCTAATCTGTATTTCGAGCCAGGTGCTGCTATTATTCAAGGATTTATATCTCAAACCACCTGCTACTATAATTAGAATTTTCAGGCCTAGTCCTATAAAGTAGTGCTATATCTATTCATAAATATAATTGCATTCTACTATATTAAAAAATTTTTAGTGCTATGTGCAAAACTTCAAACTCACTATCTATAGCTACAAAAATTAAAATATAGTTCTGCACAAAATTTCAAAATATAAAATATTTTGTAGTTTTTGCAAAAAATTCTGCAAAAATCTGTATTTTTGCAAGTTTTTGCAAATTTGCACTTATTTAATTTTCCTAATATAGTTCATCTAAATTTAAAAAGTAAACAATACTAATTTTTTGGAAAAGTAAGCCAAATTTTCACTTTTTTCAAAAAATTTTAAAAGACCAACAAAAAAGCAAAAGTAAATAAAAAAAAAACTACTTAACTAAATAAAAAGAGTGTAGCTTAAGTGAAACATATATTTTTGTTGTATCCCCTGTGTTTTATATAAAGTACAGCCTAAGAGCTTTGTTAACAGAGTAGAAACCTACTACTAATTTTTCCCTTCAAGATTTTTTATACTTGCAAGTTTAAATATTTAACAAATCAATTTCTAAATATTATTAACAAATAAAAAATATACTAAACTTTTTTAAAGTATTTTTTAAATTATTTTTAATTAATACTAATAAATCATCAAGTTATATACAATATTAACCAAGCTGGGTTAGGGTCCTGTAACCTAGTAGTCTAGGCACCTAACCCTCCACAGACAAGGTTGATGGTTCAATTACAGCTGGTGGTAATTAATTGAATTAATTATCTCTATAACTTGCGAGAGCTTTTAAATGCGAAACCCTGTAGTGATAAGACTTTATGAAGTATATATTTGGTCAATAAAGAATTCTTAAAAGAAGTCCCAAGCTATAGAGAAGATCAGGTACTACATGTAATATGGGTTACAGAAGGTATTACCATAGAAGGCTATGCATGTGAATCCATGATTGGCAAGGTAGCACCAACAACCCTAAGGCGGCATTGAGATTTTGATTGGGAGGATAGCTATATGCAGTATATCCAGAAGTGGTGAGAGAAGCGGTGAATATAATAAGGGGCTGTGGTAAAAGAATAGCTTTACCAAATATGAAACATCTCTAGTACAATAAAAAACAAAGAAAACTGGTTAAAAGAAACTCTGAAAAGCATAAAAGCAAGCACCCTGGTGGTACAAACATAAAGACAACTAGTGAGTATAGTTGCACAACCTATATGGGAGTCTATGACAAAACACAGCAGAAGCACAGGTCCCAGGTTACTGCTTTGTAGCAATAATTAAATGAGGTTTTTAACCCTGTTCTAAGGATCTAGACTTCTGTATCACTATACCGATAGAGAGTACTTAAAAAGGAATAGTAGCCTAATTAAGTGGTGTATGATGTTAATACCTAGACCCATGTGTGAAGTGGCAGCAGCAGGTGGCTTGAGATATAGGTCTTCGGACAGCAGCAGCATCTGGCTTGAGATACGGATTAGGCTTTAAAGTAACATATTTGAGAAATATCAAACTAGAAGCAAGAAGAGCGCCCACTCCTAGAACACCAATTTGGAAGTTATACAAAATACGAATTAGAAGTAATGTGATAAGTAATGAGGGGTGGATTATAACTAGTGGATGTTGTACAGTAGTACAGTTAGAGAATATATTATAAATGGATAATGCAGATTACACCTTATATAGGCATAGATTATCGCTCGATTGATTCTGGAAATTTTCAAAATATGATCGTGCTATCAAGTAAAAAAAATTTTTTTTTACTTTGTTTTTAAAATTAATTCTAATTTAATTATTATAATACTGTTGTATTGAGAATATAACTATATACAATTTTATTTACTTCGTTTTTTAAAAATAAAATTTATTTTTTATTTATTAATCATGCTATGTCACGAATATACAAACATCTAACTCTTGTTCCAAATCTAACAACTCTAATCCTAAATCTATCTATTATTTTTACATTCATTCCGAATCTATCTAACTATTGTGCTATACTTGTTTTAATTATTGTGCGAAGTTTGTTCACTAATATGCTATATTTGTTCTAATATTATACTACGTATATATCTAACTATCTCTATTTATCCCAACTATTTGTTTTTAATATTATGCTATGTGAGTTCTCTTCCTCAAGCTATATTAATACCTATACAAGATTTAAATTAAAATATAAATATTGTAGTATTTAAATCTTCATTTAATACAAATACAAAATAGTACAAAAAAAAATATCTTAAGTTGACTAATGATGATTCTTAACCTCCAATACGAAGTAAATACCTTTTTTTTAGCCTCTCATTTATTTTGGCAAAAAAAATTTGCCACCGTTGATTAATTTTGATTATTAAAACTAGACATCTTGAAGAATATATTTGAAGTTTACTAGAACTTAATAACTATTAAAAATTTTTTTTTCAAATTATACGATGTTTGAGGAGAAAAAGACACATAAGAGCCAATCAAATTCAGAAATCTATTTGTAGATCATTCTAGAACGTAATTTCTTAATTTGGTAAATCTCCTGACTGTAGTATATATAGTGAAATGTATATAAATTAAATAGGTAAACACAGCCTACTGTTGATCCGGAGGGAAACACTCTAGCAAGTTAGGGCCAAAGAGGAAGTAAATCTGTGGCTAGATAGTTACACTTGGGCACCTTAGAGCAGCCGAGTGAGCTTTGTTACAGAGTTAGTAGGGGGTATAGTTTCTAGAAGTTTCTGTACTGATAAAACCTTGTATGTCTCAATAAAAAGAGACACTTAACTACTGAAGATAATAAAGTGGGTACTGTTTAAAAAAAAATAAAAAAAAATATTAACCAAGCTTAATTAAAATATTCCTGAAAAGAATAAAATTAAAAAAACCTAATTTTTCATAAAAAATACTTTATAATTTTTAAATCTTTTTAAATTGAAAGTTTCTATTTATTTGAATTGTAATTCATTTTCATGTTTTTAATTGTTTTCATTAATAGTACTGTTGCCCCAATTACGAGAATTTAAATACTCCTATCACAAATATTGCTTTTATGCCAAAAATTATTGACCCAAATGTTCTGAGATTTGTGCAAAATTGAATATTTGGCATTGCGTTATAACACGTTAAAATAACTGTGTCACTGCACCATAATTATACAGGTTTGTCGGATAAGATACAATATTTTATTAAGATATAAGTTATATGTATTATAGGATGTCTATAGTACGTCAGGGCATGAATTTTGGATAATTTCAATTTTTTAACCATACTATTTATCCTAGTGTGATGGAGAAGCAGAACACTTGGTACACTTTGTAAAAGGAATAGAGCTGATTTAATTCATAGTTTATTAAGATCTCAAGGTAAAATAGAGAATACAAAAAAAAAAAAAACTTTCTCTTTTCGAACGCTTAGATTAGATCGATCGAATCGTCACGTGGTCCACGTGACCCACGTGATGTTCGATCGGGGACAGATCGCGGGTATGATTTCGGGAATGATAAATGAATGATACGAATATTAATAGTAAAGTCAGTCATAGGATATTAGTAATGCATGAAATATGTCGTAATATAATAGAGTTTAATATTGCAAGAACAATGCATGGAATAATAGCGATTAGTAATCGATTAGAAGTTAAAATATGTATGAGCGAAATATGATGTAATTTGTGGTAGCGAAAAAGTATGTATAAAATTGCAAGCAAAATAAAGAATTAATGAGTGCTTTTACGTGAAAAATCGTCGTCCCATACACAGTTATTTAATACAAACCAAATTGGTGCCCTTGTGTGGCCCAAAAGTTTACCGCGACGCACTACCTTTGAGGTAGATCTTAGTAGCTTAGGCTACTATTAACCCCCTTGTCACTAGTTCCTAGTAAATATTTAATTGCAAATTATTATACCAAAAATATAGAGGGAAAAAAAATGCTCAAACTGCCCCATTCCACACAAAAATAAAAATGCTCAATCCAATTGCCTACGACATGGGGATGTCATCGTCTTCGTCCTGAGAGGCAATAGTAGTTACGGACGGTGAAGGTGAACAAGGGATGTCCAAAGCGTTTGTAGCAATAGGGGTTTGGGCTTTTTCTCGCTTAAGATTTTCAGGAGTTGGAGGTGATATATTAAAGCTGGCCATAAAAAAAGGACCATTATATAAAGCGATTGGAGCCCGGCTGATAACCGATTCACTTCACCATTAAGGGGACTGATTAAAGGATTTAACCGGTTTAAACTCGATTCATCAGAATTAGACTCAACCGTGGTAGTTTGCTTTGATACAGACTCCATCTCACTTTGAATATTTCTTGATTGAGAAGATCGTCTACTGTATTTACCATGGCTAGTTTTTTGATCAACTTCCAAGTACAAATGATGTAGTAATGGTCTATTTGTTCGAAGCCGTTTCAGCACAGGTTTCTTGATCTTTATGAAAATGTGATTTTCATCATGTTTGCTGATAGGATCTGCTTCACAATTTCCACAGATCAAAGTCAACGCAGTTACCACATTTATACCTAACTCCACGAATAGCTTTTCCACAGGCATCACATCTGATTCCAGGGTGGAATACAGAATTTGAAGATTTGATTTCAGGCTCACCGTTTCTATGAATCGGTATAAATGTGTGACCCGGATGTTGTGTTGGTGCAAGAGCAACGCAATTGTTACATAAATCAAAATCTGGACAATTAATGCATTTATAGCGAACGCCCGCAATTACCGAGTCACAGTAATCACAAATTGCATTATGATAACTCCCTCTTAATTGCCTAGAACTTGTGAACATATGAGAAGTGCGAGGAATGGATAATAAAGTATTATTATCGTTGTGATGGTGGATACTCAGAGACTCATCGCTTCAGGATGGCCATGATTAGAAAACCTCTGATTGGTAGGAAAGGATGTTACTTCCAAGTCAACCGGATAACAAGGCGAGAATTTCCCTTAGAATGGGATTTATTGTGTTTTATAGCTTCCTGCAAATCAAAGTCATTATCAATAGCAATGGCGTCTTTATCTTCATCAATATAACGAATTTTAAAGTCACTAATCTCGAAAAGTAGCGATAGTTTTGAGTATAAGGCTTGATAAGTAACATCATCTATCTTTGTAAACGTAATGCGACGCAATATTGCGGGTTCATTAGAATAAGTCACTTTGAAGATAATTAGAGTGTCGGAATCCATTGTAAAAGAAGTATAGATATTTTCTTATTTTCTTGAACAAAAAGGAGAAGGAAATCAATGAAATAAGACGTAAAAAGCAAAATATCCGGGAATTGTAATGCTTATATATGAAATTGGGGCATATTTCAATATCGATCTGAAATTTAAAATTCTTTGGGTGTTTTTTTGACTTTTTTTAGGGTGGGGCTAGGATTTAGGGTTAGATTTAAAATGAAAGAGTATATCGATATGGGTACTTCAAATAAAATTTTGATCATAACCCAGTAGTAAATTTTACTTTTCTTTGAGCGTGATTTTAGTAGGTCTATATTTTCAAACCGAGACCCCAAAATTTAGCATCAACTATGACATATATTACTTTTCGAAAGATTTCTAACAACCGAACAAAACTTATTGGCTAAAGTTTCCGCTTTTACGTTTTGTAACCTGTAATATTAGAGACTGTGATCGATAAAATTTATATGATCGATCATGCGCTGTTCACGCTGTTCGAAGCTTTAACTGATTAATCGGGTGCGTAATATTTGAAGTCGATTTACACTCATAGGCAGACTTTCGTATGATTGGTCAATTTAATTTTACATTATTTATACAGTTTAAAGTGCTTTTTTAAAAAAAAGAAAACTACGAAGAATAAACAAAAAAGAAGCATATAGAAAGGTTTATTAAGGTTGTAGGACTCCATTATTAAAAATAATCCAAAATCTTTTTTGTTTTAGAGAAATTAGCACGGTGACAACCCAATTTTATCTGTCTTTAAGAAGTCGCTATTATGCTAACTTCTCTAAAACAAAAAAGATTTTGGATTAATTTTAATAATGGAGTCCTACAACCCTAATAAAACCTTCTACATACTTCTTTTTTGTTTATTCTTCGTAGTTTTCTTTTTTTTTAAAAAGTACTTTAAACTGTAAAATTAAATTGATTTAAACAGCCAATCATACGAAAGTTTGCCTATGAAATTTACACCAAAGTGATAAGGTTATAAAAATTTTTAATTTTTTTTTTAATTAGAAAAATATATAGCTGATTTGAAGATATAAATTTTAAACTAAATAATTTTTTTAAATTTTTACTGTATATACGTGTAGGATCCTGGACATCTCTGATATAGGTTATAATTGTATTTTAGCCAACTAAAAATTTATTTTTTCTTTGTTAGATGCATCTCACTAAAAGCTTTACTTAAAAAAGTTTATCTAAATTGGATTACTACATGCTAAAATAATTACAAAAAAACTGGTTTTTTGTTTTTTAAATTTTAAAGATTTTTGCTATATTATATATTTGGAATCCTTTGTATATTATTATTTTTTTTTTAATATTAGAGATATAGCACTTTTTCAAACTTTTATTAATACTTAATTGGTAATCTGCTAGTCAACCAAAGAGTGATTATAGTGAAATAAGACATAGATTACTTATTATTATTATTATTATTTTTTTGATAACCTGTATTAAAATTTCATTAAAGATTTACTGCTTAATACATTAGCGAAATATACTAACGTAAACTTATACAAGTTATTACACCCTGAAATATTGTGCAATAATTACGGTCTGGACATAATATTGCGCAGAAAATTGCGCAATATTGCGCAATATATAACGTAATATTACGAA